CTGTACCAAGGTCAAATGTAAGATTCAGATTCACTGAGATGTTTACCTGTACTAAAGGGTCAAATGTAAGATCAGATTCACTGAGATGTCACCTGTACTCAAGGTCAAATGTAAGATCAGATTCACTGAGATGTCACCTGTACTCAAGGTCAAATGTAAGATCAGATTCACTGAGATGTCACCTGTACTCAAGGTCAAATGTAAGATCAGATTCACTGAGATGTCACCTGTACTCAAGGTCAAATGTAAGATCAGATTCACTGAGATGTCACCTGTACTCAAGGTCAAATGTAAGATCAGATTCACTGAGATGTCACCTGTACTCAAGGTCAAATGTAAGATCAGATTCACTGAGATGTCACCTGTACTCAAGGTCAAATGTAAGATCAGATTCACTGAGATGTCACCTGTACTCAAGGTCAAATGTAAGATCAGATTCACTGAGATGTCACCTGTACTCAAGGTCAAATCGGAACTAGTGTTTCGCTGATATTGCAATGTTTTTCTTTATTTTTCAATTTTTTTTTTTGTTTTGGCATTGATGAAGATGAGTAAATGTAGGATGTGTTGGTGTACTCAAAGTGGTAGTTGAGTTAATGTTTCCTCAATATTACTACCATTATTTATTTTATCATTAATAAAGTTGAGAAGTATTCTCCTGTTCAGTTTATGGCCCTTAAACGTTCTTATTGTTAAACATTAGTTACTGGTCATGCAGTAGTGACGTAACTGGTCATGCAGTAGTGACATAACTGGTCATGCAGTAGTGACGTAACTGGTCATGCAGTAGTGACGTAACTGGTCATGCAGTAGTGACATAACTGGTCATGCAGTAGTGACATAACTGGTCATGCAGTAGTGACATAACTGGTCATGCAGTAGTGACGTAACTGGTCATGCAGTAGTGACATAACTGGTCATGCAGTAGTGACGTAACTGGTCATGCAGTAGTGACGTAACTGGTCATGCAGTAGTGACATAAAATGGTCATGCAGTAGTGACGTAACTGGTCATGCAGTAGTGACGTAACTGGTCATGCAGTAGTGACATAACTGGTCATGCAGTAGTGACGTAACTGGTCATGCAGTAGTGACGTAAAATGGTCATGCAGTAGTGACGTAACTGGTCATGCAGTAGTGACATAACTGGTCATGTAGTAGTGACGTAACTGGTCATGCAGTAGTGACGTAACTGGTCATGCAGTAGTGACATAACTGGTCATGCAGTATGGACATAACTGGTCATGTAGTAGTGACGTAACTGGTCATGCAGTAGTGACGTAACTGGTCATGCAGTAGTGACGTAACTGGTCATGCAGTAGTGACATAACTGGTCATGTAGTAGTGACGTAACTGGTCATGCAGTAGTGACATAACTGGTCATGTAGTAGTGACGTAACTGGTCATGCAGTAGTGACGTAACTGGTCATGCAGTAGTGACATAACTGGTCATGTAGTAGTGACGTAACTGGTCATGCAGTAGTGACATAACTGGTCATGTAGTAGTGACGTAACTGGTCATGCAGTAGTGACATAACTGGTCATGTAGTAGTGACATAACTGGTCATGCAGTAGTGACGTAACTGGTCATGCAGTAGTGACATAACTGGTCATGTAGTAGTGACGTAACTGGTCATGCAGTAGTGACGTAACTGGTCATGCAGTAGTGACGTAACTGGTCATGCAGTAGTGACATAACTGGTCATGTAGTAGTGACGTAACTGGTCATGCAGTAGTGACGTAACTGGTCATGCAGTAGTGACGTAACTGGTCATGCAGTAGTGACATAACTGGTCATGCAGTAGTGACATAACTGGTCATGCAGTAGTGACATAACTGGTCATGCAGTAGTGACATAACTGGTCATGCAGTAGTGACGTAACTGGTCATGCAGTAGTGACGTAACTGGTCATGCAGTAGTGACGTAACTGGTCATGCAGTAGTGACGTAACTGGTCATGCAGTAGTGACATAACTGGTCATGCAGTAGTGACATAACTGGTCATGCAGTAGTGACATAACTGGTCATGCAGTAGTGACATAACTGGTCATGCAGTAGTGACATAACTGGTCATGCAGTAGTGACATAACTGGTCATGCAGTAGTGACATAACTGGTCATGCAGTAGTGACATAACTGGTCATGCAGTAGTGACATAACTGGTCATGCAGTAGTGACATAAAATGGTCATGCAGTAGTGACATAACTGGTCATGCAGTAGTGACATAAAATGGTCATGCAGTAGTGACATAAAATGGTCATGCAGTAGTGACATAACTGGTCATGCAGTAGTGACATAACTGGTCATGCAGTAGTGACATAAACTGGTCATGCAGGAGTGACGTAACTGGTCATGCAGTAGTGACATAACTGGTCATGCAGTAGTGACATAAAATGGTCATGCAGTAGTGACATAACTGGTCATGCAGTAGTGACATAACTGGTCATGCAGTAGTGACATAACTGGTCATGCAGTAGTGACATAACTGGTCATGCAGAAGTGACATAACTGGTCATGCAGTAGTGACATAACTGGTCATGCAGTAGTGACATAACTGGTCATGCAGTAGTGACATAACTGGTCATGCAGTAGTGACATAACTGGTCATGCAGTAGTGACATAACTGGTCATGCAGTAGTGACATAACTGGTCATGCAGTAGTGACATAACTGGTCATGCAGTAGTGACATAACTGGTCATGCAGTAGTGACATAACTGGTCATGCAGTAGTGACATAACTGGTCATGCAGTAGTGACATAACTGGTCATGCAGTAGTGACATAACTGGTCATGCAGTAGTGACATATCTGGTCATGCAGTAGTGACACTAACTGGTCATGCAGTAGTGACGTAACTGGTCATGCAGTAGTGACATAACTGGTCATGCAGTAGTGACATAACTGGTCATGCAGTAGTGACGTAACTGGTCATGCAGTAGTGACATAACTGGTCATGCAGTAGTGACATAACTGGTCATGCAGTAGTGACAACTGGTCATGCAGTAGTGGGCATAACTGGTCATGCAGTAGTGACATAACTGGTCATGCAGTAGTGACATAACTGGTCATGCAGTAGTGACATAACTGGTCATGCAGTAGTGACATAACTGGTCATGCAGTAGTGACATAACTGGTCATGCAGTAGTGACATATCTGGTCATGCAGTAGTGACATAACTGGTCATGCAGTAGTGACGTAACTGGTCATGCAGTAGTGACATAACTGGTCATGCAGTAGTGACATAACTGGTCATGCAGTAGTGACGTAACTGGTCATGCAGTAGTGACATAACTGGTCATGCAGTAGTGACATAACTGGTCATGCAGTAGTGACATAACTGGTCATGCAGTAGTGACATAACTGGTCATGCAGTAGTGACATAACTGGTCATGCAGTAGTGACATAACTGGTCATGCAGTAGTGACATAACTGGTCATGCAGTAGTGACGTAACTGGTCATGCAGTAGTGACGTAACTGGAGTTTACCCCCCCTCCCCCGCCCTCGAATTTCATGGGGGTGGTACCAAAGCTTCCGCCCCGGGTGACACCAAAGCTTCCGCCCCGGGTGACACCAAAGCTTCCGCCCCGGGTGACACCAAAGCTTCCGCCCCGGGTGACACCAAAGCTTCCGCCCCGGGTGACACCAAAGCTTCCGCCCCGGGTGACACCAAAGCTTCCGCCCCGGGTGACACCAAAGCTTCCGCCCCGGGTGACACCAAAGCTTCCGCCCCGGGTGACACCAAAGCTTCCGCCCCGGGTGACACCAACTCTAGCGACGCCTCTGGAGGTAAACTCTATTCACAAAATGCACTCAACCCGCATGGGTCAAAGGGAAGTTAATTTTGTAGATAAAAGTAATAAACAAGTATATTACTCATCAAACTGTTGAGAAAAAGTTTGTTATTTTTGATGATTAAGACACATGAGCAACAGTTGGGTATTTTTGTTGTTGAAACGTATCACCTACACAGTAGACTTCTTCAGTCAATGTGTAGCAGTGAAATGACGTAATGACGTAATCAGTCCATAAATAGTATCTGAGGTGGTCAGTCCCTCAACCTGGAGAAGAGTTCATCTCCATGGTCTGGAACTATAGTTCCAGACCATGGAGCTGAACTTTTCTCCAGGTTGAGGGACTGATCACTTCAAATACTATTTATCCAAGGTTGATGGGCTGATTAAATCATCTTCATTTCACTACTACACATTGACTGAAGAAGCCTACTGTGTAGGTGATACGTTTCAACAACCAAAATACCCAACTGCTGTCCCATGTCTTATAATCATCACCTTATCGGTATTTTATACCATTATAAACAGTTTATTTTTGCTTTCAGTAAGGAACGCTAAACCCACAGGGGTCACACAACAGCTAAACTACAACTTTTAGTTGCAAACATGTGATAATGAAAGGCAAATAACAGTAATTAACATTTATTTGATTACTGGCCCTAATAAACATACGTGACACTTAAATAGCGACTTATTATAAAATAAGTCGCTTGTTAGCCATGAAAAAAACCATTTATGCCTGAATAAGCCATGAGCATTTCAAAATATGTATACAGAATTTTTGTGTGTATAAAAATTGCTAAGTTTAAAAGAGAAATGTAATGAATACAGGTAGATAAGACATACCAGAGTGCTAAAATCTATGGCAGTATGGCTGGAAAAAAGCATAACATTCATGGAATATACTATTCCTAATATTTTGGAAACAATAGATTTACATGTTTAGCGGCTCACCATGATGAGGTCTGCGACTAGTGAGTTGTATAGCCCTTCTGGCTTAGCGCTTCTTTTTGATAATAATAATAATAATAATAATAATAATAATAATAATAATAATAATAATTATAATAATAATAATTATAATAATAATAATAATAATAATAATAATAATAATGATAATAATAATAATAATAATAATAATAATAATAATAATAATAATAATAATAATAATAATGATAATAATAATAATAATAATAATAATAATGCGACTAGTGAGCCGGACAAGGGTGAATCGTCCAAATGTTCACAGTGAAAATCTTACGGTTCGAAGGCTTTCGTAAGAAAGAAAATCTTAGTCTTGAGGATCTCAGTGAGAAAACGTTTGTTACATGGAACCCTAAACCACGAACCGAAGGGTACTTTAGGATTTCCAGAGGTAGCCAGGTTACCACTGGAAATCTCTCACCAACAGCTTGAGAGCTAATGGTGATATGCTGGTGACCACTCGTAAGGAGTGGCAAGTTTGGAAGGAGGGAGAAGGGATATGGAATATAAAGGTAAAGCACCCAGCAAGCAGAACATGGTTTACACTGTATCAATATAATCTAAACTTCAGGTCCTTCCTAGCATGTAAACTACACGATTTGCCATTGTAACGGTGTTATCTGAACGTCATAACTAGTAACCTCCACATTATGGTGGCTACCTGGAGTTTACCTTTCCAGTTAACTCCAGGTAACCACCGTAATATGGCAGTTACTAGTTATAACGTTTAGATAACTTTGCTACAATGGCAAATCGTGTAGTTTACATGCTATGAAGGAACGGAAGTTTACAGTGGACATAATGCAATAATACTGGACAGAGTACAACAATTTTGACAACAGTCCAGTATATGAAGTCTGTGGATAAAGTCCACAGCATCAGTCATTAAACTAAAAATAAGCCACGAATAGGTAATTCTTGGCTAGGATAATGACTTTGAACAGAGTACACTCTAAGAAGGTCCTACGAGAGTGCTCTTATCAGTTAAGGATACACTCTGGGAGCCCTCACTACGGACGGGCTCTATTAAAGAAGGCAGTCACTAGATGTGCTTCACTGTGGGAGGCACTATGGGCGGGCTCCACTCAGGAAGACCCTGTGGGTAGGTTCCACTTTTCGTAGGCGGCGGTGCACTCCTGGAGGTGTGTACTCTTCGGCTGCAGGCGCCGTGGGCAGAGTCCCTCTTAAAAAAAAAATATATATTAACCTGTTGAAAACATATACATAATACAAACAGGTTTTAGTATACAGAGAAACTAACAAAAACTTGAAGTGTACGAAGGAAGATACTTGGGATTCAACGAGTTTGATTAAAAAATGCACTGAACATCACGTAGCTGCATAAATTAAAATAAAAAACTACTTATAAAACAGTATAAAACTACATACTGCACACATAAGAACCTATAAACATAACTGTTTACAGTACTTTATATAAACATTATTAGGGAGTTTGAGAGAAATGTTAAACTGTAAATAAGATTATGGAATAATTTTTTTTACCTGTAGTTAGTATTTAGGCTCTAATTAATATGCACTGTAATTAGGATGTGCTAAATTATATGTAATTGGGCTATAATAAATACACCTATAATCAGTATATTATTTAATTAGGATCTAATACATGAAATAAAGCTGTAGCATATATATAATTATGCTACTACAATAAAAAATATAATTAGGCTGCAATTTTAATTAGGTTCTAATGATAAATATAAATTGCCTGCAAATGAAGTCACATTTAACTCTGCATAATCCCTCTCCTTCCATTAATGGCTACAAGATCCTCAAATGTTACCAAACACTGTGAACCAAGATCAAGTGAGAACCATGATCATGCCATGAACCAGACAGGTAAAAAATCAGATCAAATAATGGCTATCCCTCCTACAGATAGAGGAAAATCCTTCAGATCAACCTTCAGGATGTAACCATCTTACATATAATTACAGGTTTCAGTAAACATCTTTATATTCAGTTGTTCTGAATGACAAGAAAGGATATGCAGAGGACACGAGTAGTTTATGGAGTTTTACTCTCAGTAGATATAGCGACAAATACATATGTTAAACCCAACATATACAAACCATACCACGGGCGGAGATAGAACCCGCAATCAGAGAGTCTCAAAACTCCAGACCGTCGCGTTAGCCACTGGACCAGCTAGTCACAATAAGATTCGTCCAACTAGGTATATTTCTACACCATAGGAAGATTAGCATAGGTGTTATGGTTTGTTTGCAATCGTGTCATTACGATTTCGTGAGCCAACATGTACAACCAGTGATGAACCTGCAATTATACATCAACCATATAAATAAATCTTCCTTGAAAAACTTGACAACAACACTGTCTACTATACCAACACTACAATGCTTCCTCTTGCCACATCTGTAACACATGATGCAAGCGATCCTAGAAGAGCCACCCAAACTTTAGTAATGTGATATATTACCCTGTGTGTCCTCCGGTAACCAACTGCACCCAGAAGCTGCTCCGTAGTACTAGGATGCCATGCCACTTTAATATGGACCTTAATCTTTCTAAAGAAATCTGGTACTAATTGGTAAAATTTTTGACCTCACAGCCCATGTACTGAACAAGACATCATTGTCACCTGTCTGAAGGAAACACTTTAAAATATACTACTGTATCTTATGTGTTGAATACACAAAGATAGGAACTTAGACTCCATGCTGTATGTACCTCAAAATGAATCTCATGCTGACAAATGCAAATAGCTACAACTAGCCACTCACAACTGGGTCATTTTATTGTTTTAATAGGGCTGAAATAACCTTTGGTTGGAGCTAGACAGACCTCTGCTATGCAGGGAAGAAGACTTTCTTTTTCCTTGGTGCTTACCTGATTTAAGAGTCCAGTAATTCATAGCTTGATGAAGATACTTTCTCTTTCGCCTCAGATTTGCCTATAGTGACATGGAATTGACTATTGCCCGGAGCCTTCTCTTCACTCTTTCCGACAGCAATGATGTAGTGGTTGTCGCACCTCCCCATAGAAGGTTATCCTGTTGTAAGCCTAGTGCCTGACTAGGAGTACTCTTGTGGTACAGTCAGTGAAGTGGGTGTATTTCAGCTTCTGGGCACCATAAACTTATGGGTACTTCAGTCTGATCGTGCTGTTATTCATAGCATTGCAAGGGAATCCTTGAAATGAAGATCAGTGGTCATGAATAAGTGCCCACAGAGGTGCCAATGGTGCCACTCATGACTATGGTGCACATTTTTAATTATTTTGGCAATTTCTGTTTTGCTGGGTGTTGTATGACTGCTGAGGTGCAGGTCAGTACCTGTGAGAAAATTTTAGGAGATTCTTTTAGTATTAATCATATGACTGGATTTCTAATCGATGCAAGATATTTTAACCAAGAGTGATATTATCCTATGGTTGCTAATATGATTAGTTTTTATTTAAGGGCTAGTTTATTAGAAGACTTGCTCATATCTGTGATTTTTTTTTTATCTTGTGAGTGTGTGGTGTGTGTGAGTTTGCATTGAAGAGTGTTGAATGACCTGTTTATTCCAGCACTACGTAAATTTTAAAACTTCTTTCCAGTCTAGATGGTGTAGTGGGTACTGAGGTGAGGAGAGACACAAATGGCTGGTGATTATTATATACCCTTCAACGTTATCTGATCTTCTGTGACTTCTGAAAAATATAAAAAATCATTGTAAACATGTTGGAAAATAATTTTAATATATATGAAAGAATTTTATTTTGATGAGACTATATTTCATATTGCAAAATGTATGTGAAACCATGAATATTATTTTTTTTTTTTTACATTTCTCTTTAAAACAAATGGTTTTGAGTTTCCCCGTTTTCTAGTTCCTGTTCCAGTTTGGGAAGTTTAGGAGTTGCTGAAACGGGGAGAGAGACAGTTGACTGCTGCAACTACGGCTGAGTGCTGATCTTGCTGAATGATTGTTCATGGCCACTACTGTGTCGAAGGAAGACATATCACCGACATACACAAACTTGGCTGTCACTATTTCACACTCTGGAGAGCATGAACTGGGCACCGGGGCTACAGAAACACCTACAAATCCTCGACTTATCCCTTACCCCAGTTCTCCTGAAATAGAAGTCAGAGAATAATGAATTTGGTATGGCTTTGTTTCTCTTTGGGCTAAATAACAATCTTCTGTGGGCCGTCACATTGCCGTAGTTATGAGATTAAGAACTCAGTAGGTACCATGGGTTGCATTGGCTGGCCTCTTCCATTTCACTGGATCTGTGGCTACATACGCAAATGCACAATAGAGGGAGGGTTAGAAACAAAATACTGAAGCCTTTCAATGCAAACCCGTCTTCTGAAGCTAGGCCATTTAATTAATTAGCTAGGGATTAGCTAAGAATTCCAAGGATTAAGTTGAAATGAGTGCCACAAGTCTCTGCTGTACTCAGTGAATGCATTATTACTTTTAGATCCACGATTATTGATTCAACTTAGAGTACGAAATGTTGTGTTTAGTTTAGAGTTCGAAATGCGTGTGTGATTTGAAACATATTTGCGTAAGCTTACTACCTATGTAGAAATTATGTCTACAAAATTATGATTTTTTCTCAACAGGAGTTAATAAACTAGTTACCTTAATAATACTATTATACAATTACTTTATAAAATAAATTAGCGTCCATTATTTTCTTTTTAATTAGAGATGAGGTAATTTAAGAATATCTAAATAACATCTACACAACTAACATAAAACGTTGTAGACTACATTAATTATGTCACAAGTATTTAACACAAATTAACCTCAAATAATCCTAAGCAAATATATGAACTCATTACCAGACAAGAATCATTGTGTTGGCCGCTGAGGCTGCCAGGTTCACTATATATTTTTCGCCATTTGGTGGAGACTGAATTGGGTTGACGGGTTGACCTCTTATTTGGTTAATGGGTTGACGAGTGGTGCATTGATGGATAATTTTTAATTATAGCCGCGGCGTCTGGAGCTGCATCATAGGAAATAAAAGACGTAGATAGAGCAAAACTCTATTAAAAATAATCGTTTCGCACAGTGAGAATCCTGAAAAATTATTTGATGACACATGATAGTTGTTCCTATTTAAATGACATAATCAATTTTACAAACTTAATTCTGGTGAGGTATTGAGGATATTTACTTTACTGTTACAATAGAGTTCCCAGTAATTATACTAAATATCATTTTACTGCGAATTAATTCAATGTATCCACCTAATTTTCTCTGGGTTATTTCCATTCTTAACATAGTTCAGTTATGGTTTGTCTATATTATTATTTTTTATTATATTTACAAAGTGCCCTCAATCCTAAACTCTGGTTACAGAGTCCAGTTTCAAAGCTTTTGGTGCATATTTCCATTATATTTTTTGTTACATAGTTGTGTATATCAATCATAGTTTACCTTGAGTAATATTTCTTTTACCTTAACAATGGTGATGATTACAGTTAAACTAATTGTCACCATTTACCTCTCTTGATCAGACAAAAGTTCGCCATTTTAAAGGTAATTATATTTAATGGTTATTTAAAACGCATTTCCTCCATAATCTCAAGGAGTTAATACTATTGTACGGGGGTCAACGCGGGGGCGTTGACCCCTGTAACATCCTCCAGGTATCCGTAAGATATATTTCCACTTTCTAATCGCCGAGCCATTAACTGACTGTCCATTAACTTTAGTAGCGTGAATCCAGAATTTCCTGTTATCTTCTTTGCTTTGTTTATCATGTGGGTGTCAATTCCTTTACCCGTATGGGCGGTAACTCTTCCAAAATTAGATCTTGCAGATGGGATTCTTGAAGCAAATCTGGAAGCTCTTCTTGGGTTACCGGGAGATGTTATTCTTCTGGGCAATCTTGTTCAGAGTTAAAATCAATGTGGAGTGACTTAGGGATATCAAAGAATCCCTGAGTTTCCTGCAGAAGGAGTAGGCGTAGTGGATATCCTAAAATGAGTTGGAAGGTGGTTGTGAAGGCATGTGTATTTTAGATCTGAAAGAATCGAGACGATTTTCTTTTTAAGGGAATTGGTCTTTTTTGTCAGACCGAAGTGATTCGTGGAAACAAGTTAGCCGGTATTAGGTTTTGCAAATCGGAAGTACTGTGCCTGCATTAAGACAGACGGGTGAGAATGAGTTTATCTTAGTGGAAAGACAGCTTGGGTGCAAGTGATGGTAAATGCTTTTTCTTCTTTGCGTTGTCAGCCTGCCAGTGGATGTTGTCAGAGGACGTGATGGCTGGTAAATCTGAAACTCTGAACTGCACAATTTAATTTGAATTCCTCAGTATCGCATAAAAATGAATAAAATAAAACAATGGATACTATTGCTTTTTTATTGTTCTGATACAAATCATTATCTACAAGTGGTACGATGTGGCATGTCTTATTTAATAATTATGGTAATAATAATATTATTGATAACCATAATGGCAATAATGATCATCATAATAACTTTCACTCCATAAAATCCCCACACTTGGAAAAAGACGTCCCTAGTGATATCCGGCACGACGTAGCGCGCTACGATACCCTCCCGGGCGATATGTTGACACGCGTCCTCTGCCCGGGCCGCCGCCGCCCCCACCCCCTCATATTGGGCGGGCCGGTGCGGGCCGGGCTCCTGGCGCGGCCCGGCTGGGCGGCAGGCACTAGCATGAAGCCTAGCAGGATACTTCCTCTACAGCAATTCAAGTAAAATACTTACGAAGTTTTGGATCACAAATATGGTAACTAGGCAAGTAACGAGGGAGCAAACAAACATGGCGGGAGCTAAATAGCAGACCTAGCCCTAGAAGCTGGTGAGGGGGCTGCGGCCGCCCCTCCTGCTGGCCAGCAGGACCCAGCCAGGAGTAAATATGGCAGTTGGCGGGCCAGGCGCGGGCCAGGCGGGGGCCGGGCTGTGTAACGAGAAAGAATGAGGCTCCAGTGTCACCCGACCCACACCAAGCCCCAGACAGCAGCAACACGCGCGACTCTCCGTACCTTCTTCTACTCACGTAGCTTTTGAAAGCACGAGTTGGGCCGCACCGAGTGAGGTCCTGCGTGTGGTGCGGCCCGGCGCGGCCCGACCTGACTTAGGTTGGGCCGTCGGGTCGCGGGCTGATAGTCAGCGCTGCCGTGGACACTACGTTGTCACTAGTGAGGCCCAGCGCGGCCCTCCCAGGTCTGTGGTGGCCGCCCGGGGCACTCTTCAGGAATCCTTCGTAGGAAAACAGTGGTACAGAAAAGCTGCTGTTGTGACAACCAGCGTCCAGGGCGACATGGGTGTGATATGCATTATTCACGATTGGTTCAGGGAACTGGTCAAAAACAAGGGGGCTTGATGGATGATCATGCTCGGCTGGAATGTAATTTATCAAACATCACCTGTAGGCAGTATGTTGGCTTCATTTAATATTATTAAGCTTATTGTTTTTCTTTAATGCTTTTTTCTTTTAAACTTCGGTGCGATCAGATAAAATTAAGAGCGTCATATGCAAAACAAACTTGTTAGAGGCACACACACATTAACTCGGGCAACACAGCAAGTGGAGGCAAGACTCAGTGAGAATTGAAGTGCATCAGACATTGGTCAACAGAGACAAACAATGCACAGACCTATACAATTAACAGTCAGGGTTTTTTTTTGTAAGCCACATTTTCGGTGCCCTGAGATCTTTCAAGCTTCCACGTGAAGAGTTGTCAAGACTCAAGAGCATACAAAATAGCATAGTTACCCCGATCCACAGAGCGCCGTTCCTCCCAGGGGGAGAACTAAAGAAAAGATCCTCCTGTAGGAACTAGGGCGCTACTATAACTCCGACGTAAACATTGGCATGATGCCGAAGACTCATTACTGGTATTCCACACAGTGGAGGTCTGTTCTGCCCACGCTAACCACTACTGAGAACTGCTCTTACTATGGAGTCACCTGCTCAGTCGGAAGCTAACCTCTTACAAATGCAACTAGCGAAACTCACACTACTTTACATGTATATCGGAAATTTCTTTGAGGAACTTTCTTAAATCTACCGCTATGTTTCTAATAGTGCCTCACAAGCTGGGGATGGGGGAAGGGGGATTTATTTACAGTATGATGCGGGATAATGACTGGTTGTCATGGCAGCTATTAGTATGATGAAGTTGACTATTTATACATATGTAGATCGGGGGACAGAATTTTGATTTGAGGTTTGATAACACTTTCGAGTTGGGCACCAAATCTTCGTCGCACCGTACTACCAGAACACGAGTGGTGATGCAGAAGACAAGAACGTGAAATAATTGGAGTATATGAGGGAAAGTAATTGAACAAGCAGAAACTTAAAACATGTCAAACTCATTAAAATTATATCTGCATAAATCATACGTGACACACCGCAATTGTACAACAATCGATAACAATTGATTTGTTTGTATCGATAACAAGGTCCATTTGAAATCCATCCACCAGTTCTTTTCGGGGTTTACATATATATATATATATATATATATATATATATATATATATATATATATATATATATATATATATATATATATATATATATATATATATATATATATATATATATATATATATATATATATAATATATATATATATATATGTCGTGCCGTATAGGTAAAATTGGTCAATTAGCAAGAACTCATTTAAAATTAAGTCCTTTCTAAAATTTTCTCTTATATGTTTAAAGATATATTTTTTTCATTTACGTTAATGTAAAGATTAATAATTTTGTACCAAAAGAACCTTAGAAAACTTATCTAACCTTATTATAACAAGCGATATTTAATTTAGCCTAATCTAAATATATTGTAGATAAGTTAACAATAATTTAATAATAAACAAACACAATGAAATTAATGCATACACAGATTTTCGCTTGCCTTATTCGGCAAGAAGAGCTTTGCTATTTAAGCCAAAATCGCAAGTTTTACCTGTATGGTGCGACACACACACACACACACACACATATATATATATATATATATATATATATATATATATATATATATATATAATATATATATATATATATATATAATATATATATATATATATATATATATACACACATATATATATACATATATATAGTATATATATATATATATATATATATATATATATATATATTATATATATATATATATATATATATATATATGTATATATACTTCGTGCCGAATAGGTAAAGCTGGTCAATTGGCAAGAAATCGTTTAAAATTAAATCTTTTCCAAAATTTTCTCCTATAAATTTAAAGGATTTTTTTATTAATGCTAATATAAAAATTAATGATTCTGTGCGCTTGTTATAATATGGTTAGTAAATTTCCTAAGGTTCTTTTGGTACAAAATCATTACTTTTTTACAATAACAAAATAAAAAAAATTATCTTTTAATGTATAAGAGAAAATTTCAAAAGGACTTAACTTTTAATGAGTTCTTGCTAAATGACCATTTTTACCTATTCGGACGTATATTTATATATAATATATATAATATATATATTATATATATTATATAATATTATATTATATATATATATATATATATATATATATATATATATATATATATATATATATATATATATATATATATATATATATATATATATATATATATATATATATATATATATATATATATATATATATATATATATATATATACATGTATATATATATATATATATATATATATATATATATATATATATATACATGTATATATATATATATATATATATATATATATATATATATATATATTATATATATATTATATATATATAGTATATATATATTATAATATAATATATATATATATATATATATATATATATATATATATATATATATATATATATACATGTATATATATATATATAATATATATATATATATATATATATATATATATATATATATATATATATATATATATATATATATATATATATATATATATATATATATATATATATATACACAATATTGCTGAAAAATCGATAGCTTACTAATACATTAATATTTATTCTCTGAAGATTAATTAAGTTGAGGAGGTTTTCATAATTTGAAATATATTTTGTGAAGAGAATGAGGGGAGACACTCACTTTCTGTAACAGGTTCTAGTTTACTCCAGTATTACTGAAAACGGGTGAAGCAGAGAGCGCTGGTGGAGGGTAAACCATACGAACCTTGGAGATACATGATCGCTATAACAAGGCACGAGGTGGTGGCTAGGAAGGCACAGTATGAACCGTGACCAGGACCTTCTAGCAGTGCCGCCACAGAAAAAATACCATGAAAACCTCAATGTTGTGATATTGGTTTTTGACGCAAATCGCATGATATCGCTCTCAGATTTATGGAGTTATACTTCATTTGCGGCCGAATGTGTCACTTGTGTCCTGCGTTGTGAGGGGACTTGCCAAGGTTTGTGACACAACCGCAGGTTTCAAGCCTTTCAGTGCTCTATCCGACATAGCTTATGGCAATGTGCTATGTATAGGACTGATTGGGAGATGACTGGGTTGACGAGGGACTTACAACTAGCGGTTGCATCACATTTTCTGAGCAGCACTTAAAGATACAAGCACCACCAGTCACAGCGCAGGGTTGGAGCTCGGGCCTCGCACACTCCACCTATAGATGCCTGATGCTCTATAGTAATGAACAATAAATGGTTCACTCTTTGCTCCATGGGAAAGAGGCTGTAAAACCGACAAGCTGATAAAAGAAGACACTATGGCCGATTGGAAACTTTTTCCTAGTCAATGTTTATCTTGAAAACAAAGTTTTTTTTTTTTCAGATTTATGACTAAAAAATTGGTCTTTAAGAGAAACGCTGTTTCTATTACGGTTTATATTCTGCCATTATGTCTTTGTATTCTTATTCCATGTTAGTAACCAAGGAAATTTCCTCAGTCGTTGAACGAGAGTAGCTTTATAACTGTGTAATCACAGTCCATATTTCTCTAAATCACCTTGCTAACAGATGATCAAAGGAAAGACTCTGACAAGCTGAAAAAAATCTGTAATTACTATTAAGAACATTAAAAACTTTGAGCAGTCTAAGGAAGTGGTTCCCAACCTTTGGTTTAGTCAGAGGATACCCTCCTTTTTTTTTTTTAACCTCCCCACATGCTCAAGGTTGCAACTTTAGGCTCCGTTGATTAATAAAATATATAGTAACCAAAAAATAACTATTATAAACACAGTAACGTCTCACGAAGCCACAGGAATAACTCAGAGGGCTCCCGGGGGTCCGCGGCCCACGGGTTGAGAACCACTCACAATGTAAGACTGACCCAACACGATGTTAGGTTAGGGAATGATTGACTGTGAGTTGTGTAGTGAGAAACTCGACGTGGCTGACTCTATCTCTGTTATTTACATGGACAAACGGTCAGGAAAACTGTTATCATGATACAGTAAATCATTCACAGATGGTACATCATAAAGGAAAACCCCGCACAGTCGTACAGTGCCTACGGTATAAGAAGTAATCTGGTTTTATGCAAAGTAAGGTAGCTTCAGAGCCTTGGATCAAGAACTCTTCACCAGCATCAAGGCGTCACCTTGAAGATCGTAAGACGTGAGGAGGATACAGGTTTAAACGTTGAGAAAATTTAACAAGATTAGTGTGTGTACAAGTAAACACACGAAATCAGATTTGATCCTCATTATTTTATTTGGAATAAAACGCTGTACCCGTATGGGATAATGGGAGGTAATCAGGTTTGATCCAAAGAAGGGGAGCGTAGCTTCAATTCCCTGAATCAAGATCCCTGCATTAGCTTATCTACAGGCGGAATAAACGCTCAGTCTTCTACCTCATAGCTTCACATAACTAACGTTTAATATTAAACCTGATTTTCACTCTTGGGAAAAAAATTATGTAAAATTTCACAGAATTTTTACCTCATAATTTTTCAAATGTTTGTAAATGATTTACAAAAGTCGTTGAGGGACATAAATGAAGACCCAATTTGTAGAGAAAGTTATGGAGACAACGTTTCGCCCTGTGTAGAGCTTTATCAAGACATAACCTGACAGAGCCTTACACTGAGCGAAACGTCGTCACTGTAAAATTTTATTCTGCAATGTCTTCAATAAATTAGTTTAAGCCCCGATGTTTCTCTCATTCTCGCCCTTCCGAGGGTTGACTTCATGACGCTGAAGGAAGTTCTTGATCTAGGGACTTCATGTATTTTCAAGGGAAGCGCTAAGCCCGTAAGGGTAACACAGTGCCATGGTAAAGAGAGAGGTAATCAAGGCTGATCTGAGGAAGAGGAAGAAAGCTCCTGGTCCTTGGATCAAGAGTCTTTCTCAAGCATTAAAGCACCACACTTCTTTACCTCGGATCCAACCCGACTTCCCGTTATTCCAAGGGGTATGAACCCAAATAGGTTTAGCGCTTCCCCATGCATATAATAATTCCCAATGGGGGTTTAAAGTCTATCGACTACACGAGGATCATTAAGGCTGCGTGTCACCTGTTCACCACCTCTCAGTGTATAAACACTGAGAAGAATATACTTTTCAGTGTATATATCCTTGATGCCCAGTCCTGTAGGTTGTTGCTTAAGGTATGCAGGATGCTGTCTTCGGTACCTGATCAGCTAGGCTGTGGTTCTTACGTCAGTTTATGTGCGGCCAACAGTAACAGCCTGAACATTAAAATGGTATAAAATACCGACAGATTGTTAGGTAAGACACATATGCAACAGTTAGGTATCTTTATTTCGAAACGTTTCGCCTACACAGTAGGCTTCTTCAGTCGAGTACAGGAAAGTTGATAGAAGCAGAAGATACTTGAAGACGATGTAGGGACTGACCACCTCAAAACTTTAAGGGTGATGGACTGATTACATCGTCTTCAAGTATCTTCTGCTTCTATCAACTTTCCTGTACTCGACTGAAGAAGCCTACTGTGTAGGCGAAACGTTTCGAAATAAAGATACCTAACTGTTGCATATGTGTCTTACCTAACAGTAACAGCCTGGATGATCAGGCTCTGATCCACCACGAGGCCTGGTTTCAGACCGGGCCGCGGGGGCGTTGACCCCCGAAACCCTCTACAGGTATACTCCAGGTATCCTGAGGTTTGGAAGTAAATAAAAATATTCTGTAACAACAATTATATAGCAGCCCTGTATGTTGTGATATATTTATATGACTTGTATTCAACTATACCTACATAATGAATCTTAGGAATAACCATGTAGGATAACAGTCGCAGTACCGTGGCTGCAACAAATCGCAAATAACACAGACTCAGGAGAGGAGACTTTAGACAATGTTTCGGTCTGTCCCGGACCATTATCAAGTCATTTGATAATGGTCTACGATGGATTGAAACCTCGTGTAATATGTCCTATCCAAAGTGTGAGTTATTCGTTAATATATATCTAGTTATCCCGTGCCTCAGGTGTGATCATGTATTGAGCGAGTGTGAGGCTCCCTGGTTAATTTGGTAGCCTTAATCATTATCGG